GCAGGTACGGGGACGCATTCGCAGGTAGCGGGACGCATTCGCAGGTAGCGGGACGCATTCGCAGGTAGCGGGACGCATTCGCAGGTAGCGGGACGCATTTCGCAGGTACGGGGACGCATTCGCAGGTACGGGGACGCATTCGCAGGTACGGGGACGCATTCGCAGGTAGCGGGACGCATTCGCAGGTAGCGGGACGCATTCGCAGGTAGCGGGACGCATTCGCAGGTAGCGGGACGCATTCGCATTCGGGGACGCATTCGCAGTAGCGGGACGCATTCGCAGGTAGCGGGACGCATTCGCAGGTAGCGGGGACGCATTCGCAGGTAGCGGGACGCATTCGCAGGTACGGGGACGCATTCGCAGGTAGCGGGACGCATTCGCAGGTACGCAGGTACGCGGGACGCATTCGCAGGTAGCGGGACGCATTCGCAGGTAGCGGGACGCATTCGAGGTACGGGGACGGTTCGCAGGTAGCGGGACGCATTCGCAGGTAGCGGGACGCATTCGCAGGTACGGGGACGCATTCGCAGGTAGCGGGATTCGCAGGTACGGGACGCATTCGCAGGTATTCGCATTCGGGTACGGGGACGCATTCGCAGGTACGGGGACGCATTCGCAGGTAGCGGGGACGCATTCGCAGGTACGGGGACGCATTCGCAGGTACGGGGACGCATTCGGGGACGCATTCGAAGGTAGCGGGACGCATTCGCAGGTAGCGGGACGCATTCGAAGGTAGCGGGACGCATTCGCAGGTAGCGGGACGCATTCGCAGGTACGGGGACGCATTCGCAGGTAGCGGGACGCATTCGCAGGTAGCGGGACGCATTCGCGGTAGCGGGACGCATTCGCAGGTAGCGGGACGCATTCGCAGGTACGGGAACGCATTCGCAGGTAGCGGGGACGCATTCGCAGGTAGCGGGACGCATTCGCAGGTACGCATTCGCAGGGGGGACGCATTCGCAGGTAGCGGGACGCATTCGCAGGTACGGGGACGCATTCGCAGGTAGCGGGACGCATTCGCAGGTAGGGGACGCATTCGCAGGTACGGGACGCATTCGCAGGTAGCGGGACGCATTCGGGTACGCGGGACGCATTCGCAGGTAGCGGGACGCATTCGCAGGTAGCGGGACGCATTCGCAGGTAGGTAGCGGGACGCATTCGCAGGTAGCGGGACGCGCATTCGCAGGTTCGCAAGTACGGGGACGCATTCGCAGGTTTCGCAGGTACGGGGACGCATTCGCAGGTACGGGGACGCATTCGCAGGTAGGGGACGCATTCGCAGGTAGGGGACGCATTCGCAGGTAGCGGGACGCATTCGCAGGTACGGGGCATTCGCAGGTAGCGGGACGCATTCGCAGGTAGCGGGACGCATTCGCAGGTACGGGGACGCATTCGGGTAGCGGGACGCATTCGGTAGCGGGACGCATTCGCAGGGGACGCAGCGGGACGCATTCGCAGGTAGCGGGATTCGCATTCGCGGTACGGGGACGCATTCGCAAGGGACGCATTCGCAGCGGGACGCATTCGCAGGTACGGTAGCGGGACGCATTCGCAGGTAGCGGGGACGCATTCGCGGGTACGGGGACGCATTCGCAGGTACGGGGGACGCATTCGCAGGTACGGGACGCATTCGCAGGGGGACGCATTCGCAGGTAGCGGGACGCATTCGCAGGTAGCGGGACGCATTCGCAGGTACGCATTCGGGTAGGGGACGCATTCGCAGGGGACGGGGGACGCATTCGCAGGTACGGGGACGCATTCGCAGGTACGGGGGGACGCATTCGCAGGTACGGAAGGTAGCGGGACGCATTCGCAGGGGACGCATACGCGGGTAGGGGACGCATTCGCAGGTAGCGGGACGCATTCGCAGGTAGCGGGAGGTACGGGTAGCGGGACGCATTCGCAGGTAGGGGACGCATTCGCAGGTAGCGGGACGCATTCGCAGGTAGCGGGGACGCATTCGAAGGTAGCGGGACGCATTCGCAGGTAGCGGGGACGCATTCGCAGGTACGGGACGCATTCGCAGGTACGGGGACGCATTCGCAACGGGACGCATTCGCAGGTAGCGGGACGCATTCGCAGGTAGCGGGACGCATTCGCAGGTAGCGGGACGCATTCGCAGTACGGTACGCATTCGGGACGCATTCGCAGGTACGGGACGCATTCGCAGGTACGGGACGCATTCGCAGGTAGCGGGACGCATTCGCAGGTAGCGGGACGCATTCGCAGGGACGCGGGGACGCATTCGCAGGTAGCGGGACGCATTCGCAGGTAGCGGGACGCATTCGCAGGTACGGGGACGCATTCGCAGGTAGCGGGACGCATTCGCATTAGTACGGACGCATTCGCAGGTAGCGGGGACGCATTCGCAGGTAGCGGGACGCATTCGCAGGTAGCGGGACGCATTTCGCAGGTACGCATTCGCGGGACGCATTCGCAGGTACGCGGGACGCATTCGCAGGTAGCGGGGACGCATTCGCAGGTAGCGGGACGCATTCGCAGGTAGCGGGACGCATTCGCAGGTAGGGGACGCATTCGCAGGTAGCGGGACGCATTCGCAGGTAGCGGGGACGCATTCGCAGGTAGCGGGACGCATTCGCAGGTTCGCGGGGACGCATTCGCAGGTACGGGGACGCATTCGCAGGTACGGTTCGCAGCGGGGACGCATTCGCAGGTACGGGACGCGGGACGCATTCGCAGGGTAGCGGGACGCATTCGCAGGTAGGGGGACGCATTCGCAGGTACGGGGACGCATTCGAAGGTAGCGGGACGCATTCGCAGGTAGCGGGACGCATTCGCAGGTAGCGGGACGCATTCGCAGGTAGCGGGACGCATTCGCAGGTAGCGGGACGCATTCGCAGGTACGCGCATTAGCGGGACGCATTCGCAGGTAGGGGGACGCATTCGCAGGTACGGGACGCATTCGCAGGTAGGGGGACGCATTCGCAGGTAGCGGGGACGCATTCGGTAGCGGGACGCATTCGCAGGTAGCGGGACGCATTCGCAGGTAGCGGGGACGCATTCGCAGGTAGCGGGACGCATTCGCAGGTAGCGGGCATTCGCAGGTAGCGGGACGCATTCGCAGGTAGCGGGACGCATTCGCAGGTAGCGGGGACGCATTCGCGCAGGTAGCGGGACGCATTCGCAGGTACGCGGGACGCATTCGCAGGTAGCGGGACGCATTCGCAGGTAGCGGGGACGCATTCGCAGGTAGCGGGACGCATTCGCAGGTTCGCGCATTCGGGTAGCGGGACGCATTCGCAGGTACGGGACGCATTCGCAGGTAGCGGGACGCATTCGCAGGTAGCGGGACGCATTCGCAGGTAGCGGGACGCATTCGCAGGTAGCGGGACGCATTCGCAGGTAGGGGACGCATTCGCAGGTACGGGACGCATTCGCAGGTAGCGGGACGCATTCGCAGGTACGGGGACGCATTCGCAGGTACGGGACGCATTCGCAGGTAAGGGGACGCATTCGCAGGTACGGGGACGCATTCGCAGGTAGCGGGACGCATTCGCAGGTAGCGGGACGCATTCGCAGGTAGCGGGACGCATTCGCAGGTACGGGACGCATTCGCATACGGGGACGCATTCGCAGGTACGGGGACGCATTCGCAGGTAGCGGACGCATTCGCAGGTAGCGGGACGCATTCGCAGGTAGCGGGACGCATTCGCAGGTATTCGGGGACGCATTCGAAGGTAGCGCGGGACGCATTCGCAGGTAGCGGGACGGGGTACGCACGCATTCGCAGGTAGCGGGACGCGCATTCGCAGGTAGCGGGACGCATTCGCAGGTAGCGGGATTCGCATTCGCAGGTAGCGGGACGCATTCGCAGGTGACCCCCCTCACCCCAGGGAGCCCCCCTCACAGCAAGGGCTCTTCACTTCCAATCACAATGTTTGATCAGGATGATGATGATGATGATGATGATAGAGATGATGATGATGATGACGATGGAGATGATGGAGATGATGATGGAGATGATGATGATAGAGATGATGATGATGATGACGATGGAGATGATGGAGATGATGATGGAGATGATGATGATGGAGATGGTGATGATGATGATGGAGATCATGATGGTGATGATCATGATGGAGATGATGATGATCATGATGTAGATGATGATGATGATGGAGATGATGATGATAGAGATGATGATGATGATGATGATGACGATGGAGATGATGATGACGATGGAGATGATGATGGAGATGATCATGATGGAGATGATGATGATGGAGATGGTGATGGTGATGATGGAGATGATGATGATGATGGAGATCATGATGGAGATGATGATGATGGAGATGGTGATGATGATGATGGAGATCATGATGGTGATGATCATGATGGAGATGATGATGATGGAGATGATGATGGAGATGATGATGATGGAGATGGTGATGATGGAGATGATGATGGTGATGATGGAGATGATGATGGTGATGATCATGATGGAGATGATCATGATGGAGATGATGATGATGATGGAGATGATGATGGTGATGATCATGATGGAGATGATGATGATGATGGAGATCATGATGGTGATGATCATGATGGAGATGATGATGATGGAGATCATGATGGTGATGGAGATGATGATGTTGAATTGTTTCCGGATAATTAGCAGGGAAAATGAGGTGCTCCATGTGTGCTCCGTGATTAGTTGAAGGGTCCACTAGTGGGCGGTGTGGTGACGTCTACTTTCTGATCGCTCTTCATAGGACATCATCAGGGGGCGTCTCTATTCCCTTCCAGTATAAAAATCATTTCTTCAGATCAAAACAGATATCACTGAGAACACGGAGGACCCCGAAATGATATATAGAAAAGGCCGACATCTGACATCACATTCCCCGAATATTATATATATAACTCGGGACAACGTGTGACCCCCCCATAGAGAGCACAGCGAGCCAAGAACCATTATGTCTGATAGAGGTATACGGGGCCCCATATCTACACTATATTGCCAGAAGTATTGTCCCCCCTCTCCCCCTCTCCCAATCGTGATTCAGGTGTTCCAATCCCCTCCATATCATGTGATTCAGGTGTTCCAATCCCCTCCATATCATGTGATTCAGGTGTTCCAATCCCCTCCATATCATGTGATTCTGGTGTTCCAATCCCCTCCATATCATGTGATTCAGGTGTTTACGGAATCCCCTCCATATCATGTGATTCAGGTGTTCCAATCCCCTCCATATCATGGGATTCAGGTGCCCCAATCCCCTCCATATCATGGGATATCATGGGATCAGGTGCTCCAATCCCCTCCATATCATGGATTCAGGTGCTCCAATCCCCTCCATATCATGGGATTCAGGTGTTCCAATCCCCTCCATATCATGGGATTCAGGTGTTCCAATCCCCTCCATATCATGGATTCAGGTGTTCCAATCCCCTCCATATCATGGGATTCAGGTGTTCCAATCCCCTCCATATCATGTGATCCTGGTGTTCCTATTCCCTCCATATCACGTGATTCAGGTGTTCCAATCCCCTCCCAATCGTGATTCAGGTGTTCCAATCCCATCCATATCATGTGATTCAGGTGTTCCAATCCCCTCCATATCATGTGATTCAGGTGTTCCAATCCCCCCCATATCATATGATTCAGGTGTTCCAATCCCCTCCATATCATGTGATCCTGGTGTTCCAATCCCCTCCATATCATGTGATTCAGGTGTTCCAATCCCCTCCATATCATGGGATTCAGGTGTTTTCCAATCCCCTCCATATCATGGGATTTCAGGTGTTCCAATCCCCTCCATATCATGGGATTCAGGTGTTCCAATCCCCTCCATATCATTGTGATTCAGGTGTTCCAATCCCTCCATATCATGTGATCCTGGTGTTCCAATCCCCTCCATATCATGGGATTCAGGTGCTCAAATCCCCTCCCAATCATGAATGTAATTCAGGTGTTCCAATCCCATCCATATCATGTGATTCAGGTGTGGTTCCAATCCCCTCCATATCATGTAATTCAGTGCTCAGAAGTGGGTCCAATCCCCTCCATATCATTGAATCAGGTGCTCCAATCCCATCTCCATATCATGTGATTCAGGGTGCTCCAATCCCCTCCATATCATGTGATTCAGGTGCTCCACAATCCCCTCCATATCATGGGATTTAAGGTGTTCTCAATCCCCTCCGTATCATGTGTGATTTAGGTGTTCCAATCCCCTCCTTATCATGTGATCCTGGTGTTCCAATCCCCTCCATATCATGTGATTCAGGTGCGATCCAATCCCCTCCCAATCATGTAATTCAGGTGTTTCCAATCCCCTCCATATCAATGTGATTCAGGTGTTCCAATCCCCTACATATCATGTGATTCAGGTGTTCCAATCCCCTCCCAATCATGTGATTCAGGTTTCCAATCCCCCCGTATCATGTGATTTTTAGGTGTTCCAATCCCCTCCGTATCATGTGATTTAGGTGTTCCAATCCCCTCCTGTCACGGTCTGGGTCAGGTTTCAGAGACCAGTTGCTATAGCAGTGTAAGGCATTACCTGAAACCAGGAAAGAAAGTAACACCAGCGGGTCCACCCTGGAATAACGCAAGGTTCACCTGAGGTGCGGGGTCTAAGCATCCACCAGTCTTCCCCAGAGCTCCTAATGGTGGAGATGGATTTGGCTGCGTGTGAATACCAGGTCACAGATCTCTCAGGATCCCCACCAGGAAATAGTAGGCTGGAAACCAAAAGTTGGATCAAACAGTTTCAGGGATCAAACAGAGTGGAGTCCAGTCACAAGCCAAGGGTCCACAAGCCAAGGGTCAGTCACAAGCCAAGGGTCCGGTCACAAGCCAAGGGTCAGTCACAAGCCAAGGGTCCCCACCAATGGTATTAGATAGGATGAGGCAGAATCGTAGTCAGTAAAGCAGCCAAAGGTCAGTAACGAGGTGTAATAGCAGCAGCAGGAGAGAAAAGCGGGATACACTGACTGGAAGGCACTATATCTTATCTGGCAACCAGGAAGTGCAGAGACATGGCTTTTATAGGAAGTTCATAGGAGCAAGGGGGTTCAAGGTTCAAAAATAAAACAAGGCACAAGGCAAGATTGTCCAAGAATTGTCAAGAGAGCTGTCCACATCCCAGTACTCAGTGAGAAGAGACATTCCTGCCTCTCAACCGCAGAAGGCCCAGGATCAATCCCAGGCTCCTGACACCTCCGTATCATGTGATTCACGTGCTCAGCATGGACATCCCCTCCATATCATGTGATTCAGGTGTTCCCCATTCTCTCCATATCATGTGATTCAGGTGGTCCCAATCCCTCCATATCATGTGATTCAGGTGTTCCAATCCCCTCCATATCATGTTCCTGTGTTTCCAATCCCCTCCATATCATGTGATTCAGGTGTTCCAATTCCCCTCCATATCATGTGATTCATGTGTTCACTCAGCCCCTCCATATCATGTGATTCAGGTGTTTCCAATCCCTCCATATCATGTGATTCAGAGTGCCTCAATCCCCTCCCATATCATGTGATTCAGGTGTTCCAATCCCCTCCCAATCATGTGATTCAGGTGTTCCCAGAACCCCTCCCAATCATGTGATCCTGGTGTTTACAATCCTCTCCATATATCATGTGATTCAGGTGTGTCCCATCCTCTCATCATAATGGTATATATGGGGGTGGGGACAATACTTTGGGCAATATAATATGGGGGGGGGCAGGGACAATACTTGGGGCAATATAGTGTATATACGGGGGGGCGGGGAAAATACTTGGGCCATATAGTGTATATGGGGGGGGCGGGGACAATACTTGGGCCATAATAGTCGTATACCCGGGGCGGGTCCGACAATATTATCTGGGGCCATATAGTGTAAAGGCATAATCTATCCCATGACAGCACTTTACATTCACACAGTCCTTTGCCCAAGAGCTTACAATCTAAGCTGTGCCTGAGGAGGCGGAGCCTAATGTGGTTCCCTGGAGGTGGGCGAGCCATTGTATACATCTTGTTTACTGTTTCAAATTCTGTAAATAAATCCTAAAATGTCTTCATAGAGGAGATCAACATGCCCAGCAATGTATCCAACCGAGATCTCTGATTGCAATCTCCCCCCTGTACTGTCCCCGCAGTCCCTCTGGTCATCTCCTGTACTATGGCTGCAGTCCCTGATCATCCCCTGTACTGTGTCCGCAGTCTCTGGTCATCTCCTGTACTGTGTCCGCAGTCTCTGGTCATCTCCTGTACTGTGTCCGCAGTCTCTGGTCATCTCCTGTACTGTGTCCGCAGTCCTCGTCTCTGGTCATCTCCTGTACTATGTCCGCAGTCCGCAGTCTGGTCATCTCCTGTACGTGTCCGCAGTCTCTGGTCATCCCCTGTACTGTGTCCGCAGTCTCTGGTCATCTCCTGTACGTGCGTCCGCAGTCTCTGGTCATCTCCTGTACCGTGTCCGCAGTCTCTGGTCATCTCCTGTACTATGTCCGCAGTCTCTGGTCATCTCCTGTACACTGTGTCCGCAGTCTCTGGTCATCTCCTGTACTATGTCCGCAGTCTCTGGTCATCTCCTGTACTGTGTTCCGCAGTCTCTGGTCATCTCCTGTACTCTGTCCGCAGTCTCTGGTCATCTCCTGTACTGTGTCCGCAGTCTCTGGTCATCTCCTGTACTGTGTCCGCAGTCTCTGGTCATCTCCTGTACTCGTGTCCGCAGTCTCTGGTCATCTCCTGTACCGTGTCCGCAGTCTCTGGTCATCTCCTGTACCAGTGTCCGCAGTCTCGGTCATCTCCTGTACCGTGTCCGCAGTCCCGTCTGGTCATCTCCTGTACCGTGTCCGCAGTCTCTGGTCATCTCCTGTACCGTGTCCGCATCTCTGGTCATCTCCTGTAACCGTGTCCCAGTCTCTGGTCATCTCCTGTACCGTGTTCGCAGTCTCTGGTCATCTCCTGTACTGTGTTGAACCGCAGTCTCTGGAGTCCATCAGTCCTGTACTGTGTCCGCAGTCTCTGGTCATCCCTGTTAACTGTGTCCTGCAGTCCTCTGGTCATCTCCTGTTACTGTGTCCGCAGTCCTCTGGTCATGACTCCTGTACTGTCCGCATCTCTGGTCATCTCCTGTAAATATGTCTGGCAAGCAGTCTCTGGTCATCTCCTGTACCATGTCCGCAGTCTCTGGTCAATCATCACTGTACTTGTGTCCGCAAGTCTCTGTCATATGGTCATCAGTCCTGTGGTAACCTGTTCCGCAGTCTCTGGTCATCTCCCTGTACTGTGCCCGCAGTCTCTGGTCATCTCCTGTAACTGTGTCCGCAGTCCTCTGGTCATCTCCTGTACTGTGTCCGCAGTCTCTGGTCATCTCCTGAAACCTGTGCCCAGCAGTCCCTGGTCATCTCCCTGTACTATGCCGCAGTCTCTGGTCATCTCTATGTACAGTTCCGCAGTCCTCTGGTCATCTCCTGTACTGTGTCCGCAGTCTCTGGTCATCTCCTGTACTGTGTCCCAGTCTCTGGTCATCTCCTGTACTGTTTCCCCAGCATGTCCTCTGGTCATCTCCTGTACTGTTGTCCCGCAGTCTCTGTCCATCTCCTGTACTATGTGTCACGCAGTCTCTCTGGTCATCTCCTGTACTGTTGTCCGCAGTCTCTGGTCATCTCCTGTAACTGTGTCCGCAGTCTCTGGTCATCTCCTGTACTGTGTCCGCAGTCTCTGGTCATCTCCTGTAACTCGTGTCCGCAGTCTCTGGTCATCCCTGTACTGTGTCCGCAGTCTCTGGTCATCATCTCCTGTACTGTGTCCTGCAGTCCTCACAGGTCATCTCCCATGTACTGTGTCCTGCAGTCTCTGTCATCTCCTGTACTAGTGTCCGGCAGTCTCTGGTCATCTCCCTACTGGGTTCCGCAGATCCCTCTGGTCATCTCCTGTACTGTGTCCGCAGTCTCTGGTCAGCCCTTTACATCCCCTGTACACTGTGGTCTGCAGTCTCTGGTCATCTCTCCCTGTTCCTCTGTCCGCAGTCTCTGGTCATCTCCTCCTGTAATATGTTCCGCAGTCCTCTGGTCATCTCCTGTACTGCTTCTGCAGTCTCTGGTCATCTCCTGTAAAAAAATGTGTTCCGCAGTCTCTGGTCATCTTTGTACTGTGTCTGACTCTCTGTCCGCAGTCTCTGGTCTGGCTGATCATTCTGTAACTCGCTGCCGCAGGCCAGCAGGTCCTTCTGGTCATGCCTCCTGTATAACCTGTGTCCGCAGTCTTGGTCATTCTCCTGTACCGTGTCCGCAGTTCTCTGGTCATCTAACAATGCTGTACCGTGTCCGCAGTCCTCTGGTCATCTCTTGTACTGATGTCCGCAGTCCTTGGTCATCTCCTGTACTGAAGGTCCTTGTAGTCTCTGGTCATCTCTGTACTGTGTTCCCGCATTCTCTGGTCATCTCTAGCTGTCTTCCTGTACTGTGGCAGGGTCCTGGTCACGTCTCCATTACTGGTCAGTCTTCCTGTACTGTGTCCGCAAGTCCTCTGGTCAATCTCCTGTACTGTGTTCCCGACAGTCTCTGTCATCTCCTGTACTTATGTCCGCAGTCTCGCTGGTCATCTCCTGTAAACTGTGTCCGCAGTCTCTGGTCATCTCCTGTACTGTGTCCGCAGTCTCTCCAGTCATCTCCTGTACTGTGTCCGCAGTCCTGGTCATCTCCTGTTACTGTGTCCGCAGTTTCTGGTCATCTCCTGTACCGTGTCCGCAGGTCTCTTCTCTGTACTGTCTCGTCTTCTGTCATCTCCTGTACTATGTCCGCCAGCATCTCTGGTCATCTCCTGTAACTGGTGTCCGCAGTCTCTGGTCATCTCCTGTACTGTGTTCCGCAGTCTCTGGTCATCTCCCTGTACTGTGTCCTCATTCTCCTGGTCATCCTCTCCTGTACTGTGTGTCCGCAGTCTGCTGGTCCATCTCCTGTACTGTGTCCGCCTCTTGCATAGCTCCTCTGTGATGCAGTCTGAACTGGTCATCTCCTACTGTTCCGCAACGTCTCTGGTCATCTCCTGTACACGTGTCCGCAGTCTCCTGGTCATCTCCTTACTGTGTCTGCAGTCTCAGGTCCATCCTCTGGTACGTGTCCGCAGTCTCTGGTCCATCTCCTGTACTGTGTCCGCACCGCAGTCTCTGGTCTTGTCATCTCCTGTACCGTGTCCGCGCAGTCTCTGGTCATCATCCTGTACTGATGTGTCCCGCAGTCAACCTGGTCATCATCACTTCTCGTACGTTTCCCAGTCCCTGTGTCGATCTATAGCTGCCAGTCCTCTGGTCATCTCCTGTACTACTGTGCCTGCAGTCTCTGGTCATATCTCCTGTACCTGCGTCATCTCCCCCTCCTATGTTCCGCAGTCTCCTGGTCATCTCCCCACTGTGTCCGCATCTTGGTCATCTCCTGTACTGTGGGTCTCTCCTGCGATATCCGCAGTCTCTGGTCATCTCCTGTTAACTGTGTCTCGACAATCTCTGGTCCCATCTCCTTCTGTGGTCTGCATCTCTGGTCATCTCCTGTCTGTGTCCGCATCTCTGGTCATCGCCTGTATTCTGTGGCCCGCAGTCACTCTCTTGGTCTATCTTCTCTGGTAATTGTCATTCTGTACTGTCCTGCAGTCCTGTTCAATCATCCTCGTACTGTGTCTTCCAGTCCTCTGTCTATCCTCCATCAACACCTGGCCAGGACGTGTCCTGCACGTCTCTGGTCATCCATCTCCTGTAACTATGTCCGCAGTCTCAAAGTATCTCTCTCCCCTACTGTGGTCCGCCGAGCTCTGGTCATCTCCACGTGTGTCCGCTTAGACTGCTGGGGGTCCCAGAACCCTGCGTTGTCCACATAACAGTCTGGATCACTCTGTACCTGGTTTCCGCCCTATCTCCCAACCCACGATGATTGAAACCCCATATCTTGCATGTTAATGCCTCTCCGCATATGCCCCACCCTGTCCCCCCTTATAACTTCTATCCTAGTACCACATCTGACATATATCTGCCCCCCCTTATATCTGTACCATATCCCAGTATATGGTCACTACCCAAAATGTCCAGTAACTTGGTATAGCTGTATGAAACCCCCTCCCTAATCATTCTCCCCCATATATCTAAACCCACCATGAATGACTACCCCCCTTATATCTACCCCCCATATGAACTGCCCTCCCCTTATATCTGCCCCCCCATATATATGCTTCCCGCCCCCCCTTATATACTCCCAATGACTGCCCCCCCTATGACTACTGACCCCCCACCTTATATACTCTGCCCCCATATGGGGACTGCCCCCCCTTATATCTACCCTCCATATGACTGGCCCCCCTTATATCTGCCCCCATATGACTGCCCCCCCCCTTATATTGCTAAAAAAAAACACCCCCATATGACTGCCCCCCTTATATCCTATCTACCCCCCCATATGACTGGCCCCCTCCCTTATATATCTGACTGCCCCCCTATATCTGACCCCCCCTTATGAACTAGCCCCCCCCCTATTTATTCTGCCCCCCCATATGGACTGCCCTCCCTAATATCTACTGCCTCCATAAATGACTGCCCCCCCTTTATATCTGCCCCCCATATGACTGCCCTTACTCTCCCTATATCTGCCCCCCCTATATCTGCCCCCCCATATGACTGCCCCCCAATATGAACTGCCCCCCATTATATCTGCCCCCCATATGACTGCCCCCCCCCACAACCCCCCCCTTATATCCTGACCCCCATATGACTGCCCCCCTTATATCTGACCCCCATATGACTGCCCCTCCCGTTATATCTATTTCTTTGCCCCCATATGACCTGAGCCCCCCCCCCCTTTTATTTTTTTTGAAGATCTGCCCCACATATGAAGAACTGCCCCCCCCTATAATCTGCCCCAATCTGGACTGCCCCCCCCATATATCTGCCCCCCATATGACTAGCCACCAATAGACTGCCCTCCTATATATCTGGCCCCCCTATGAACTGCCCCCCCTTTTATTCTGCCCCACATATGACTTGCCCCCCTATATCTGCCCCCCCCAATATGACTGCCCCCCTTATATCTGACCCCCTATATCTGACCCCCCAGTCCCTGAGGTCGGGGCTCCCAGTTGCTCGGGGAAGGTGTCGCCGTTTCATGCAGACAGTCCCGGGGGGGGGGGGGGAGTAGGAAGGAGTCGGATGTTGGGGGAGGGGACCAAACTCCGGGAACAGCGAACAGTAGTGAGATATCTTCACACTTCAGATTCACCGTCACTCCGGATTAATGGGGTATAAAGAGTCCCGGAGCCCGACCCGACACACCACTGCCCGGGCATAGCCGACACCAGAGGGACCGACCAACCATCCACGGGACCGACACACACAATCACACTGTCCCCGGCTACACCGGGGACCCGCAGGAGGGGACTTCCAGGGACTCCATGCTGTGAGCGGACCCATCCGGGGACCCCGATGGTGTGATCCGGGACTGTCACCAACCAGCAAACTCTGTTATCCTTTCCTCCCTACCGGCGGGGAGATGGATTGGAGGAGCTCCGCCAGAATTGCTGCTTCTGCCCTTTCAGATTCGTCTTCTGTGTGCTGAATCGGCCGTCCGACTTCTTTCTCCCCACCCGACCGAGGGACCTGAGGGGGACACACCGTCCTGATCACCGGGGAGGTCGGGGCATCGGGAGGCAGCTGGCCAGAGAGTTCTCCAGGCAAGGAGCTAAGAAGGTAAAGTCCTTCAAACCTGGTCATAGACCCCCCAAGACCCCACACCTGGTCATAGACCCCCCCCAAGACCCCACACCTGGTCATAGACCCCAACACACCATGGTCATAGACCCCACACCTGGTCATAGACCCCACCCTTCAAGACCCCACACCCTGGTCATAGACCCCCCCCAAGACCCCCCACACCTGGTCATAGACCCCCCCAAGACCCCACACCTGGTCATCCACACCTGGTCATAGACCCCCCAAGACCCCACACCTGGTTATAGACCCCCCCAAGACCCCACACCTGGTCATAGACCCCCCCAAGACCCCCACACCTGGTCATAGACCCCACACCTGGTCATAGTCATAGACCCCCCCAAGACCCCACACCTGGTCATAGACCCCCCCAAGACCCCACACCTGGTCATATAGACCCTACAGCTCGTAGACCACCCAATTTCTCCACCTTGGTGTAGACCACCAAGTCATAGACCCCCCCCAAAGTTCTTCACCTGGTCATAGACCTCCGAGTCCCCCCCACTTAGTCATAGACCTTCAAGTCAGAGAGCTTCATGTCTTACACCTAGTCAGAGATCTCCAAGTCATAATCCTCCAAGCTCCCCACCAAGTCATAGACCTCCGAGCCTTCCACCTGGTCACAGACCTCCGAGCCCTCCACCTGGTCACAGACCTCCGAGCCCTCCACCTGGTCACAGACCTCCGAGCCCTCCACCTGGTCACAGACCTCCGAGCCCTCCACCTGGTCACAGACCTCCGAGCCCTCCACCTGGTCACAGACCTCCGAGCCCTCCACCTGGTCACAGACCTCCGAGCCCTCCACCTGGTCACAGACCTCCGAGCCCCCCACCTGGTCACAGACCTCCAGTCCCCCCACCTGGTCACAGACCTGTGAGCCCTCCACCTGGTCACAGACCTCCAAGCCCTCCACCTGGTCATAGACCTCCGAGCCTTCCACCTGGTCACACAACACCTCCGAGCTCTCCACCTGGTCATAGACCTCCAGTCCCCCCACCAGGTCATAGACCTCCGAGCCCTCCACCTGGTCATAGACCTCCGAGCCCTCCACCTGGTCATAGACCTCCAGTCCCCCCACCTGGTCATAGACCTTCAAGTCAGCGACCTCCATGTCCTATACCTAGTCAGGGATCTCCAAGTCATAAACCTCTGAGCTCCTCACTTGGTCATAGACCTCCAAGTCCCCCACCTGGTATTCAACCATCAAGTTAGATCTCCTAGTCCTCCACCTGGTCACAGACCTCCAAGCCCCACCATGGGGTAATAGACCCCCTGAGTCAGGGACCCCCAAGTCCTTCACCTAGTCATGACCCCCCCCCCCCCCCCCCCTATCCCAAGTTCCCCACCTTGTCATAGCCCTCAAAGCCCTCCACCTTGTGTTCCCTCCACCTTTTCATAGTGAGCCCCCCTTCAGCCGTCCACCTTGCACCTAGGATGGTTGTTTTTCCCACTAGGACCCTCTGTGGACTTCCCTGTCTTCGGTTTGTTGATCTGGTTGGTATTTGTTTATAGAGTTCAGTTTATCCTTTTTTTGATAAATGTTTTTAGAGCGAGTCGGCTCCGGCATACGAAGGGTCAGTCCCAGTCGGCTCCGGCATACAAGGGGTCAGTCCCAGTCGGCTCCGGCATACGAAGGGTCAGTCCCAGCGGCAGCTGAACAGCAGCCAAGTCCCACTGAGATCGCTTACTGCCGCCTGCAAGTGGCATCAAAGTTTAACCAGGGAAGGTGCCTGCAGGCTAGGTCACTTGGCAGGGCCCCTGAGAGCAGGGCCCCTGAGAGCAGGGCCCCTGAGAGCAGGGTGTGATGGCCCCTGAGAGCAGGGTGTGATGGCCCCTGAGAGCAGGGTGTGATGGCCCCTGAGAGCAGGGTGTGATGGCCCCTGAGAGCAGGGTGTGATGGCCCCTGAGAGCAGGGTGTAAGGGCCATTGAGAGCAGGGTGTAAAGGGGACTTTGGCATGGCCCCAGAGAGCAGGGTGTGAGGGCCCCTGAGAGCAGGGTGTAAGGGCCCCTGAGAGCAGGGTGTAAGGGCCCCTGAGAGCAGGGTGTGATGGCCCCTGAGAGCAGGGTGTAAGAGCCATTGAGAGCAGGGTGTAAAGGGGACTTTGGCATGGCCCCACAGAGCAGGGTGTGAGGGCCCCTGAGAGCAGGGTGTAAGGGCCCCTGAGAGCAGGGTGTGATGGCCCCTGAGAGCAGGGTGTGAGGGCCCCTGAGAGCAGGGTGTAAAGGAGAACGTGACATGTCTGCTGCCACCCAAGGTCCAAGGTCTATCCTGAGGACATGGCGTGCTCTTTGGTGACACCACCTCCCCCTGCTGTGTACACAGCCATGAATCGGCCACTTCTGGCAGTCAGGTGGCTCTGTCCTCATGATCCCGGCTAGAAATAGCTGTGGGCGGGTTGGCACAGAGGAGGACCCGGCATTTAAACAGACAGAACACCCTCCCAGGCCGTCACTTGGCTCCCAATCATTGGGCAGGGAGGAAGTTCCCCCATCTGAGTGGGGGGAGAGGGAATGTCAGGGGTGCGGGGGGGGGGGGGTGTGACAGGGGTTCCGGAGGGTGGGGTGTCAGGGGTCCCGGGGGGGGGGGGGTGTCAGGGTGCTGCACAGTGTAACTTCATTGTAATACTTCCAGAGACGTACAGCTGAGTGATTGCCTTTTAAGGGGGGGGGGGGGTCTTGGATAGGAATCATTTCCAGGGACCCGTACTTCTCCATACACCGTACCCCCAATATTCCTCCATTCCCCGTACTTCTCCATACACCGTACCCCCAATATTCCTCCATTCCCCGTACTTCTCCATACACCGTACCCCCAATATTCCTCCATTCCCCGTACTTCTCCATACACCGTACCCCCCAATATTCCTCCATTCCCCGTACTTCTCCATACACCGTACCCCCAATATTCCTCCATTCCCCGTACTTCTCCATACACCGTACCCCCAATATTCCTCCATTCCCCGTACTTCTCCATACACCGTACCCCCAATATTCCTCCATTCCCCGTACTTCTCCATACACCGTACCCCCCAATATTCCTCCATTCCCCGTACTTCTCCATACACCGTACCCCCCAATATTCCTCCATTCCCCGTACTTCTCCATACACCGTACCCCCCAATATTCCTCCATTCTCCGTACTTCTCCATACACCGTACCCCCAATATTCCTCCATTCCCCGTACTTCTCCATACACCGTACCCCCCAATATTCCTCCATTCCCCGTACTTCTCCATACACCGTACCCCCCAATATTCCTCCATTCCCCGTACTTCTCCATACACCGTACCCCCCAATATTCCTCCATTCCCCGTACTTCTCCATACACCGTACCCCCCAATATTCCTCCATTCCCCGTACTTCTCCATACACCGTACCCCCCAATATTCCTCCATTCCCCGTACTTCTCCTTACACCGTACCCCCCAATATTCCTCCATTCCCCGTACTTCTCCTTACACCGTACCCCCCAATATTCCTCCATTCCCCGTACTTCTCCATACACCGTACCCCCCAATATTCCTCCATTCCCCGTACCCACTTCTCCATACACCGTACCCCCCAATATTCCTCCATTCCCCGTACTTCTCCATAACACCGTACCCCCCAATATTCCTCCATTCCCCGTACTTCTCCATACACCGTACCCCCCAATATTCCTCCATTCCCCGTACTTCTCCATACACCGTACCCCCCAATATTCCTCCATTCCCCGTACTTCTCCATACACCGTACCCCCCAATATTCCTCCATTCCCCGTACTTCTCCATACACCGTACCCCCCAATATTCCTCCATTCCCCGTACTTCTCCATACACCGTACCCCCCAATATTCCTCCATTCCCCGTACTTCTCCTTACACCGTACCCCCCAATATTCCTCCATTCCCCGTACTTCTCCTTACACCGTACCCCCCAATATTCCTCCATTCCCCGTACTTCTCCATACACCGTACCCCCCAATATTCCTCCATTCCCCGTACTTCTCTCCATACACCGTACCCCCCAATATTCCTCCATTCCCCGTACTTCTCCATACACCGTACCCCCCAATATTCCTCCATTCCCCGTACTTCTCCATACACCGTACCCCCAATATTCCTCCATTCCCCGTACTTCTCCATACACCGTACCCCCAATATTCCTCCATTCCCCGTACTTCTCCATACACTGTACCCCCCAATATTCCTCCATTCCCCGTACTTCTCCATACACCGTACCCCCAATATTCCTCCATTCCCCGTACTTCTCCATACACCGTACCCCCCAATATTCCTCCATTATTCATACTTCTCCATACACTGTACCCCCAATATTCCTCCATTCCCCGTACTTCTCCATACACCGTACCCCCCAATATTCCTCCATTCCCCGTACTTCTCCATACACTGTACCCCCAATATTCCTCCATTCCCCGTACTTCTCCATACACCGTACCCCCCAATATTCCTCCATTCCCCATACTTCTCCATACACCGTACCCCCCAATATTCCTCCATTCCCCGTACTTCTCCATACACCGTACCCCCCAATATTCCTCCATTCCCCATACTTCTCCATACACTGTACCCCCAATATTCCTCCATTCCCCGTACTTCTCCATACACCGTACCCCCCAATATTCCTCCATTCCCCGTACTTCTCCATACACCGTACCCCCCAATATTCCTCCATTCCCCGTACTTCTCCATACACCGTACCCCCCAATATTCCTCCATTCCCCGTACTTCTCCATACACCGTACCCCCCAATATTCCTCCATTCCCCGTACTTCTCCATACACCGTACCCCCCAATATTCCTCCATTCTCCGTACTTCTCCATATACCGTACCCCCCAATATTCCTCCATTCTCCGTACTTCTCCATACACCGTACCCCCCAATATTCCTCCATTCTCCGTACTTCTCCATACACCGTACCCCCCAATATTCCTCCATTCCCCGTACTTCTCCTTACACCGTACCCCCCAATATTCCTCC